GGGGGCTGCCACCCTGTGCCGCCCCCCCCCTCCCCCCCCCCTCCCCCCACCCCCCCAATTTTCCCCGGCCCCCGGGGCCCCCCCCCCCCCCCGCCCAGGACTCAGCCCCCTCAGGGACTCCCTAACAGAGTCAGCTCATTAAAGCTGCACTGTACTTGTAATGTAGTCAAGATGAAATCAAATCACAGAAGCCATATTTGTGCTGGTGCTAACTGCCTTCCCTAATAATTAAAAAGAAAGGAGTATGGTAGCATGGTTGGGTCTTCCTCCACCCCAATTCAAACTAAGAGATAAGACAAGCAAAACAAAAAGCTAGTAAGGAGCTGACATTACTAAAAGAAGTTACCTGTGAGCGAGAAGCTTTTCATACCACTTTCCTATATTGTTTCTCTTCCTTTTCACTCAACTATGAAGAAAACCTAAGAAACTCATCAGTTTAAAACAAATTCCACTTACACTCATCCTGTGCTCTGGGACATTCCTTCTGGCATTATCATGAAGCAGAAAAGTGTCTTGTCCATGCCTGGGGGATCCACTTTGAGTTCAGTGAGGTCAGTGAATGTCTAGATCCTCATTGGTCCCCACAGACTTGATGGGCGAGAACAGCATGTGCTTTCAGTGGAGTCATTGGTCCACTTCAGATCTCTAAGGAGGATGGTCACAAGAAAACCAGTGATAGTAAACAGGCCTGTCACTATGACCACATAACTCTGCAGGAACATGCTCTCGGGGAACCAGTGCTGAAGAAGAATGAGTGGAAATTTAATGTGAGAGTTAGACAAATGCAGCCCAAGTTGCATTCCATTCACATGGACAGACTAGAAATTGGCAGTAAAATGCCTATTTCTAAAGACTATACTTCGCCTGCTCTGTTGGGGAAACTTGATGATGTTTTCAGACTATTCAAATATAGTAAGTTATTGTATTAAGACACCAGGGCAGGATATCCATTATTCTCACCCCTTTTGAGTCCCGCACTGTGTATCTAGATGCCCTCTCCCCCAAGTTCATACATTTAACTGCAGTGTTGGTACAGCCTTTGTTCCTAACATATGTCGCTGCTCAGTAAAAGTTCACAAGAGCTTGTTCAAGGTGGGCCATCTCAAACAACCTGGGGCCCCTTGAAATTATCCCTCTGAAATGCAGTTGAGATGATGGTAAACGCAACAGAGGTCTCTAAACTTTTCATGGAGAGGAAGTAGTTAGTGTACCACTTCATCAGATTGAGCATTTTGGGCAAGCAAGATTTGAGTGACTTTTCTAAGAACAGCCTTCCCCAAACTAGAGGGAGAGCGGCCAGTATGGCTCCTCTGTGTTTAACCAGACACTCACACCCAACTGTACTAGTTAGACTCTGACAAACCTTGACTTAGAAGCACCATATCTCTTCCTAGCCAAGAGTCATTACATCTGAGGACATAGTTGGTTGGACTACAGTTTGGACTCTTGCCTGAGTAACCTGCAGTCATCAACAGGCACACAAGTATATCATACATTATACTAAAACATGATATAAACATGTCAGGTAAAAAGCATCAGCCCTCTGAGATGTCAAAGATAAGGTTAGAAGGAGGTGTGATATATGGCTTTTAACACAAAAGGCAGCTTAATGGTGGCGTGGGCGGAGGGCACAGCAAGTGAAAAGTGTGGCCAAGCAGAAAGAGATGATCATGGTGAGGATGGACCCGCTGCCTTTTGAATCCTTGAGTTGACATATCTCTTCAAGTGCCCACTGAAAGTACCTAGGAATAATGGAAAAACAATTTCTGAAATCTGGGAAGTAGAATAAGGAAACCCAGCCATGTGAATACATCTTTAAATGTTCTAGCCAAAACAAATTGGTGGTGTGGTTGAGGAATCAATTGCCAGATTGGGTGCTAGTCTTGGACTCCCTCTTACTCCCCAGGAAGCTACTGAGCCCCCCTTAGGCAACTCTTTTTTTCCTAAGAACCACAAGGAAAGGCATTTCCTAAATGAACAGCTTATATGCTGCTGGTGGAGAAATTGGAAAAACTGAAGGAAGAAATGAAACTCTGGGGGTGGTACTGGAAACCACCTTGCTACGGTTCTTCCAAGGACCGGGATTGGATGTAGCAGAAGAGTCGTGTTATTTTTGGTAAAGATTTGCCTGTTGGCCTGGGATTTTACATCTCTCTATAGTTTATACTGTGATCAATGGGAGCATTTTCATTTTAATTATATTCTTGCTTTCTTGAATGCTACATTTTCTCATATCTCTTTCTTCTTCTACCTGATGTCATGGACACAGATCATTGCACACAACATTGCATGAGCAGTATAGCCTAAGACAGTGCCTAGTCCAACTATCAAGGGGACTTAGAAATGCAGACCTGCAGGCTCCTTCCCAGTAACCAGACTATAACCTTTAACAGGGAAATCTTTTGATTCCCTGACATTTGAAATCAGCTTATTTTATAGTACTCTCCCCTCCCCAAATACAGATTAAACCAACTTGGGGCTTTCTGTGTCAGGGAGGAGAACGAAGTCCAAAATATACAGCTTTTTTTCCAAAAAATATCTGGTCTAAAAGTCAACTATATCATTTTATGAAGTAGTTTAGATTTGTGCATAATTTTCTTTGATTCTGCCTGTTCTAGTCAGGAGAAAAAAAAGGATGAAAAGCTGAAAGGAAAGAAAAAGCATCAGATTTGGTAATTCACACGTTAGTTTTTAAGTTTCTAAGCCACACAAAACATGGACATACTGTGAAATCCAACATTGTGGAAATCCTGAGCACAGAAAAATTAGAGCAGCTGTGCAAGCTGATGAGCATGGACAAAGTAAGAGGTGTCTGTGGCCTCCTTGAGACTTTATCCTCAACCAGGCAATTCTGAGAGTGTGGATTCAAAAGAGCCCAGGATTGCCCTGAAGAGTGCACTTTTTTAAAAGCCACAAAGGAAAAGTGGTAGGATAGAGTGGAAGAAGGGGCCAGACCATTACACCATGCTTACTCTGCATTCTCTTAAGAGCAGTTGATAAATGTGTGGAACATCTGGAAGGCCATCAAAACCACATTTCATATATCAGCTATTGTACCTTTAGGATCAATTCAGATGAAGAAAGTGGACTGAATGAAGAAATGAACTTTCATTCATGTCAGCTAGTTTGTCATCATGAAGAAATTGGCAACATAAGAGAAACAAGGCTATCCGGCCAAACTAATAGTATTTAATATTTGAAAAGTATGAATCGTTTTTAGCCTTGCCAAAATGCAAGTAACTTGTTGGATAGGTTTCCATCTTCTAGCTATAGAGAAAAACAATCCAGCTGCTTGGAACCTTCGCTATTATTGGTGCAAAAGTCACTTAAAGAAAAACACCTTCGGAAACTGGCCTCAGCATGGCTGACTGCTTGCAGACACACATCACAGTATTTATAACCCCATTAGCAATTGAATCCAGGCATCGCTAAGCTCTTACTCACAGCTGTATGTGACCGAGAGGCCCATTTTGTGTCATTTCTACACAACCGTCAGTTGTTGACACCTTGTTAGAGCACTGAATGCTAGTTTCACAATTCTTCCTTTCCCCTTCCAAGGAGTAGGCAATCTACCAAACCCTCCCAAGTCAACTCTTTGCTGGGAAGGAGTGAGTTCAAGAGCATTTTAACATGCAGGGTTGAAGCCAATTCAGTAGCCCTAGCTGTGCCGAGGCTCTTAATCAACGCTGTGATATAAACCTAGCATTCGGGAAATTTGTGTAGTTGACAACTTAATTGGAAATGTGAACATATTAAAATGGCAATTATCTAACTCTGTCTCTTCAAGCTGTGGTGCAGCTTCTATCAACAAGGACGTTATGAAAGCAAATCAAGCCTCATTCAGGAGGCCAGCTGTTCTCAAGGAGAGCTTACTAGATTTGCTTCCCCTCTACTCCAGCCACTGTCTCAAGCAGCCTGGTGACAAC